CACATTTTTTAACTATAAAACTAACTTTCCTTTAATAGAAAATTGTGTATTTATTCTGTATAATTAATGACTATATAATAGAACAATATTTTCTAAATAATTAAAAATCAGAATTTTATTTTGTACTAAAAAAACTATATTACAAAGTATGTATTCAAAATTATAAAATTATAACAAATTATTACATCGAGAGAGAAGGTTGATTGATTGAAGGATTCTAAAAAAAAAATTATGAGATTCTTGGATATTTATGTAATTATCATTAATATCTATAATTAACAATAATTAATTTTACAACGTTACTTAAGTAGTTTGCGTTTGCTAAAAACACGGAACAATGGCATTAAAGCTTAAAAAAACAAAAAAAAAACAAAACAGAGAATAGCAATGATAAAATTAATAAAGATATAATGCTGGATGCAGTAGCTGTTAAAGAGTAAATACACACGTATGCAGATAAGTTCTTATGATTAAATATTATATGTTAAACATAATACATATTATGTTTAAGAGATAAAAAAAACTTTAGATAAAAAAAAATGTTAACAAATTTATTTTGAAATCGCAATCAAATATATGCAAAGTAAATAATATGTATCATATATTAATATTATACCTTATTATGTTCATAGCAGTCACAGAACATTATATTTTTTTACGCGCTTATAATTCAGATACACTTATGACACACAAGACATAATATCTTATCTCTTGATGTTGACGACATATAATTATTATTAACTAAGTCTCTAATATTTATGTATATAATTATTCGATTATGTTATATACATAATGTTATACCTACAAATATCATAAAAAGAAAGTTATGCTTTCTTGAACTAATTGTAAGTACAAATACACGTTTCATTAATTTTCATTACATAAAATTCATATTTTATTATTTTATCAGTTTCACACACACACACACACACACACACACACACACACATCCACTTTCACTTCACTCTATTTTATTTATGTATAAATTTGTTTAAATCATATATATTTAGTAAAATTAATTTTATAACTCTGTAGTAATTTGTATTAAATCACATTTTACACAATTGAGCTTTATCAATTGTAAACAAATAATTATTATATTTAAATAAAAAATTTTTTTCATATTCCTTAACCCGAATATTGCAAAGTGAAGATGCTGTGTAATTATTTTTTATTCGAGTTTATCGAAACTTCACTCCTTTGATAAATTATTATAATTACACATTTCTATTCCAACTTACTACCACGTTTAATTTAACATTTATTTTACAACTGTCACCTATTAGCTTCATAGAGATAAAACTATTTCTCTAAATTTAAAAGTAAAATCCAATCGGCATGACGAAAACTGCCAATAGTTGCAAAATAAACATTCTGCTGAACGCGACCATTCACAATAACTGATTAATTTATAGAACTGTTTAAAGTTTAAAGTTCTTTTCGTATTTTTAAATTGGAAAACACACTATTTAGCAGTGGCGTAATAAAGAAAGATTGCACCCGGAGTGGTCTCTTCTTCCTCACAAACTTTTATGGCTCCTTTACTATACTATTGATAATGGCAATCGTCAATAAACTATTTTGCAGGCTTCGTCCCTTCGCTCCTACATACGTTCTTGTAAATTACGTAAAAAAATAAGCAACAATGTTTCCATTTTAAGTAACTAAAAATTGAAAACATTTAATAAATCTATTTTTTTTAATAAGAGTGATATTCATAGTCCATTCGATATTCATAGTCCATATTTTAAAACCGTCTTATCTAATTAAGACCCTATGCTAATACCCTCTGATTGGTTTATGATAGCTTAAGACTGTACTTAAGACAATTTCAAATATAAGAATTTGAATCGATTATGAATATCGGCCTAAAACAAATTATGCGGAGAAGAAAAGAATGCATTAATAGTATAAAAAAACAGTTTTCTTACTCTTACCGAAAACTATGGCAGCATTTGATGAAAGGAACGCTAATAATGAATCTCGTTAGATTAAACGCTTGAGTTCAGAACATTAAAAATGCGTTTATATATTTGCCTTTAACAAAATGTCACAAACAGAAATTTATTTCTACTACAGCAAAAAAAAAAGAGTTGGTCATATAAACTAACAATTTGATTTCAATTCCTTCATCTTTTATTTGAGAAGCGGAGATAATTTTTATTTACAAATAAATCTTCGAACTCAAATTTTTGCTTGTAACGAGGAAGTACTGCTAAATTAATATCTTTGCTAAGACGAAACCTTAAGGCGGATCGTTTCTTTCTTACTACGTCATTACTGTTTAATAAATTATGATGAAATATAAGAAAGCTGTTTATAAAAATAACAAACAATATCTTGATAGAATATTTTTCTGTGTTCGGTTCTGTTTAATCATATCATGTCACAGTTAACTTATGATGATTAATTTCTAATCACTCTGACTTGCAAGTGACTGAATAACTGCAGGATATGTCACACTGCGTACTATCACAATACACACAAATGCACTTGAAGAATCAAGTCGATATAAATTTTAGCCAATAAAGAAATAAATTTATTTTATTTATTGTCTCGTTTTGAATAAGCTTGAGAGCTATATTATGATGTTACATAAACAAAAGAAATACAAAATTATTTACAAAGGTACAATTATGGTAAAATAACTTACATTCCCATGTACCAAATCTCAAGGATGACGATTGGTATTATTGCTGCTAATAGTAGGTACATCGACATCGTGATTGTGTTAGTGGTTACTATTTCTTTACAGTATTTTCTTGCCGCAAGTCCTTTCTTCGATCAAACTTGATTCCACAAACTTGTTATAAAAGATTATTTTATTGTTATTATGTTAAGCTAGTACATATGAATGAATGTAAATTGTTTGGATATAAGATGAAAAATAATTAGAAAGTATAATGCATGAATTATATTCATAAATATAAATATATATTGTATTATATGTATAAAATAATCTTTAATATTTCTGAGCATTAATAGAAATTTATATAATTTACATTATTTGCTATATTTTGTCTGACAAGTATAATTATTATACATTTATTAAATATTATTTTAATTAAAAAATAATATTTCTTTAACAATATATGTCACCTAGAAATAATACGTAATAGATACTTAAGAGCATATAAATTTATTTAGAGATTATCTATATTTTTATTATCACTTTTCACTTCTACACTTAAAAAATTATATGAATAAAATTAACAACCAACCAACTTCACTTTGAAAATCATAAATGGATCAAAGCTTCTAATTCTTGACTTAAAATAAAAAAGTCTGCACATATTTCTTTCTCTAGCATACTCTTTACATTTTTTTAAAGAGTTAATGTAAGGCTGTGGGTAATAACTATGATTAGTATAGTGATTCTAGTTCCTAGAAAAACGATAGTAAAAGTTACGCTATCGATTGAAAAAAATCAATTCCGAACAAGAAAAAGGAATTAACTTTTACAGACAAAGAGTGTCTGTACATGCAGTTTTAAATGAGGCGAATACCTTTTCACGAAACGTTTCTTTGGTAGCCAATATATCATTATAATTGAACGATATAAAACGTTATCAGGCTTGATAATTTGAAGATTGACAGGTGTTTAGATAATTAGCACTCATGCTGTTTATACATACAAATAGCAGTAATTGTAATGACAATCGTAAACTACGTTTACATACAGAAAGCAAAGCATCGGACGTTCGGACAAAAATATATTTCGTTTGTCTTATTTAAACGCGACTTTGTGCTTAAGCAAAACTATGTTCGATCGCACGCTTTCGCTGTACTCCGGTTTCCATTTAATACTGATTATTAATACTTGGAGAACGCATACTAAGATACACGACTATACACGACGGCTAACGTTAACCAACGTCTCAATGGTCAAATCAATCCATGATCTCAAATATGATATAGAAATCCGCCTAAAAAAAGTGAAAGTGACGTGAAGTAAGAGACCATTGAGCCACAGTAGGTGCTTTCCAATTGCAATATCCCTAGACATTTTTGTGCACACGGCGATACAAGTTGCATTCCAATTGTCCGTTATTGTCGATACAATGCTACACATCTGTAGGGCTATTCTGTAACTTTTAACGATAGTTCAGTTATATTGTCGTTGCGCAGCTTTTTCGCCATGTAAAATACCTGCGCAACGACATCCCTAGCTAGTAAAATTGTCGTTAAAAAGTTATTAGAATAGGCCTACTGGGGATCGATTCTGTATCTTCAAACAAGATGAAAATTATTGGGTCATCTAAAAAGTATCCGCGGTTTTTTGTCACTAAAAAAAAAAACTGTGTTGATGGTCATATATCTAGTGACAAAGTACCGCGGATACTTTTTAGATGATCCAATATATTAGCATAAAAAGCGGACGCTTAAGATGGCTACCATGAAATACATTTGTTCGCGGATTTAGCTACCCCCACTATTAATACATTCCCTTCTATTTCTCCTGACTCTTTGAGTAACATTATATTGGATCATCTAAAAAGTATCCGCGGTTTTTTGTCAATATTATTATATAATTCTGATTTAAAAATATAAACATTTTCATGATATGACCAAATTATGTTTTTTTTAAGAAAAATCATTCTGTAGCTTCAAAAATTCAAATTTCCAACCCACAACATGGTGGCGAATCATGTGACCTGGGACTACATCAAAGATGCCGACGCTCAGTGTCCATACTGTGGTTGCGTTCAGAAACACTCACTGATGTGCCACTAATACACATCAGCCGTTCGGAAATGCTTGTATGTACTCGATGTGCATTAGTATGAGATCGTTCGGAAACGTCGAGAGAGTCACACCGAGTGCCACTAAACCACCTGTGCGAAAAGCAAGGGAAGTGAACTGGTGTGTTATGGCCGCAGCACAGATTTGCATAATGCATAGTGCATAAGAATCGACCAATCGAAATTTGAAATTTGAAAGGAGTGACTTATGTTCCTTTCTTTTTACAATCATTTCACCGCCGTTCCTCTTTACAATCATTTCACCGCCTTTCTTCACCAGTTAATTGTTTAGCTCGAGGTTAGGATTAAACGTGAGCGATGAGGTGGAATTGAGATGACATACACGTCACACGGAAGCCGTTCGGGAACACTCACCACCCAAAGGCACACGATACCCCCACTACTTCTTCACTGAAGTCACCGTACACATCAACGAATGATGTTTCCGAACGCAGCCTCGATGTACTTATACTATGGTAGGAGCATGTTGAAGCACGCGACGCGAATAAACCTCTAGAGTTCCTCTGGATCTAGGGATTTTACTGTTTTCGTATTTTCAGTCAAACTATCAATTATGAAATTTTTTTCTTAAGATGAAAAATGAAAAATTTTTCCATTAACTTCAATGGTTAAAATTTTTATTTTTCACTTTTCATTCTAAGAATAAAGTTTTATGATTGATACTTACACTCGTATTTATAGTCATACCTTATTTTGAGGAAGCCTCCATGAAGGATTTCTCGATTCTTCAAAGCCTCCTTGTTTCATAAATGGATCTCAAGTCTACCTTCCCGAAGAAAGGAATATTTTAGGGATTTTAGTAACCTAACTGTGACATGCTGAAAGCAGCATGTCATAATATTGGGTCATCTAAAAAATATCCGTAGTACTTTGTCACTAGATATTTGACCATAAACACACATCTAGTGACAAAAAACCGCGGATACTTTTTAGATGACCCAATATATGCATATCTAATATCGTGAATTACGAATAATAAAGATTATGAAGGCATTGTTGATTAAATAAAATTGTAATTAAGCATTTTGCAATAGTAATAAAATAGCAATAGTAATAGTAATAGCAATAGTAGAACAAAAATAAAATTAATAGCGAATTTGATTGGACGCACTTAGTGCGCACTGATGCACATTAAATCCGCCGTACATACACAAAATAACGTAAATATATGTTTATAAATAAACATAGAAATCGATTAAATTGTGAAATACTCAATACATTATATTATTGTATTGTACTGTTAGATAAAATATGTATTTTATAATTCGAAATATTTACATTTTATTTTTATATTCAAATTAAGTCAGTGTACAACAAATTTAATATGCATCAGTGATTCCAATCGAATTCGCCATAATGCTTATTATAGGAAGAAGTAGAAAATGCTTTTGACACAGTTTATTTCCAAAAAAAAAAAGCTATCGAAAATACAATAATTATCAATCCCTCCTCTAATAGCATAGACCTCCAAGGGATATCCCTACGTCCGTATGTTAAATATCTTAAGAATATCCCTAGGATGTATCCTGGATAAAGTGTGCTATTAGGATTCCTTGAGAAAAGGAAGCTAATAAGACTTCTTATTAGGTCAAGAAAAGTTTATGAAACGTGAAATGAGGAACAAGGAATCCTCATTCGTCAAGGAAGGACTATGAATACGGGTATTTGTCAATTTTCCTCTCATGAAAAAATATGCGCTATTGACTATGAACATAGTGAAAATATCCCTAGGCTGACTGGAGTGAAAATTACAGATGTAAGTGCGATTGAATGTGTAGCATGACCTTAATTGTAGAAAATGATAGAAAGTTTCGAATTCTATCCCATTCTATCACTATATTGTCTAAAATTATATTTTTTAAAAATGGGCCAGAATTATCCGAGAGCTAATGTTTCAATTGCATGGAGACAGAATGAATTTTTACGGAAACGCAGAAGAAAATATTGATACAATTTATGGAACAGCACCCTGACTTTGATCGTGATTTAAGATATAACAAGGAAAATAAACGAAAAATTGTAAATATTATGATTATTAATCGTATTTCTTACAAATATGTTTCTATAAATAATATTCTTGTAAGTTTTGTTTTTATATATTTGAATTCAATATTTAAATATTGGGTCATCTAAAAAGTATCCGCGGTACTTTATCACTAGACTATATGACCATCAACACACATCTAGTGACAAAAAACCGCGGATACTTTTTAGATGACCCAATATTTTAAAATATTTTTAGGATGTGAACTTTGGGAAAAATTATCATCTTCTTTAAACACATCAGCATATGGACTACGCAAATCAGCAAAGGAATAGACTAAGATAATTTTTATTTATGTGTGTGTGCGCGCGCGCGCGCGCGTGTGTATGTGTTATCAATGTATCGTCAATATATGATTTTTTTAGTAGAACTTCTAAGTAGAGATGTGCGAACTATTCAAATACAAATTATTCGATTTATATTAGAATAGCTCGCACATGTCTAATGCCAGCTTTGACTTAAATAAAGAATTGTAAATAAAATATAGAATATGCGATAGAATGCAAAAAATTCAAAAAACTAAAAAATTTTGTGATCTAAAATAGTGTGTAAATTTGCAATATAAAAGTAGAGATGTGCAATTATTCGAATACAAATTCGAACAGTATATCTTTACTTTTGAGTTGACCTTTAAATTGTGTAATTGTGTGAAATTATTATTTATTGCTTATCATCATATTTTTTGCAGACATAGAGAGACTGGAAGGCTAATACCTTAAAAAAGATTGCAAAAGCATGAGATTTACATGATGGGAACAGATGGCAGATCACCAAAAGATTTGCAGTTATCTGAAAGGAGAAAATTTTTCAAGAGATATTTCGGAAAGTGGATTTACGGATATGATTCCAAGTTATGACAAAACTTCGAATTTATTTGCTTGATCTAATATTGAAGAAAAAGAAGAATGAAGTATTTTTACTTTATGCTTAGAACGATATAACGATGGCATCACATGAAATGCATTCTCCTGTTCAATAAAATAAGCAGAATATGCAATTACGTATGCCATTAAATAGTATTATAACATACATCCAATTGCAAAATAATAAAAATGAAGTTACAAATTTTATTTAATTATCATCATTTTGTTAATTAGTTAAAAGTATAAATTAATAAATTTATTATTTCTTCTTAATTAATAATTTCAAAAAATAAAACACATTCATAACAAGACAATAAAACAAATAATTTTTTAAAACAGAAAAAGCGCTCTATTCAACAAAATACTTAAAAGAAATAAATGTGAAACACACACAGTGTTATATATATTACACACAATATGAGTGTATATCAAATTAAAAATAAGGAAAATAAGGTATGCATATAAGATTTATTTAGATATTAATGTATTACTTTTTACAAATATATAATAGATTAATATAGATTTAACTTTATTGTACTTTACTATTTACAGGAACAAGATAAAATAATACGTGCTTTAGATGATACAGAGAATTATATTGCAAATCATTCAAAAAGTATACGAACTTTTTTAATAAAACGTATTAATATCATTAAAATAAAAAATAAACTCCTGCTATTCTAACAAATTGCTCGAAAACATTAAAGAAACATTAGTAATTAATGCGAAAAACAGTGCGCAAAGTGTTAACAGTAAATTACTTTGATAGTTTGCCGACATCAAAACTGTCGAAATCAAAATTCTCTGATATAATACATTAGAAAATTTTGTATTTCATTTCGACAGTTGTAATGTTGATAAACCATTAAAATAATTTACTGTTAACACTGTTCATTGTTTTCCACGCCTGTTTATCCCTCTTATATTCGCAGGATAAGGGGATCCAATTGTAAAAATATTCAGACAAAAATTGTAGGATTTAAAAAGATCTATTTACTGATCTTATCAGTTAAATCTTAGGTGGCGTCGCTAAGATCAGGTCACGGTCACATTGATTTTTTTTAATGGAACACCAACTTTTTATTCCAGTATCTAATAGCCAATATCGAGAGCTTTTCAAAATACTATAATAAAGTTATTTTTTATTGAGTATCTTTCGAGTTATAAGGCTTGAAAGTTACAATATGCCAACATTAGTATTACGCAAAATATTCGACCGACAACTTCTTGAATGTTATTCAGAATCATATCTTGAATAACATTTGTTAAGATCAAGGCTATTGAAGATTATTCCTCTTATTTTCATTTTTGCACTAAGAATTTATTTTTATCTTTATTCTTGGTAAAAAAATGAAACTGATTATGGAACAAAGACTCTTGTAATTGATTGTACTGAGAATGATTCTTGTAATTAATTGTACTTAATTTTCACCATATAAAATGTCTGCGCAATGACACCGACAACCGTATCGGTAGGCGTGTAAAGACAGTTAGAATAGTGCCCCTGAATACAGCCCAGCAGTCCCAGCACATGCTTTCACAGTATTTTGCAGCTGACAGATTTCCTAACCTCAATAGTCATAAATTTTAATGTTTAACATCTCGCTTCGCAGGACAGTCCGGTAACATAACATACAAGTTATATTACGGTTGAATAGGAAATTACAACTAACAGGTACGTTACATGTAACTTTGCGTTCACTGGATTATTCTTCGAAGTTCTTCAGAGTTTTTGCATTATAGGTCTTTTAATAATTTTTCGCGTCCGATGTTAATCAAATCTAACCTAATAATACGTATGAGCCGCGAGAAGATTATGGGAGCTTGTTTCACTTGCGAAAATCGTATCGATATAATATAAAGCGACAAATATGATTTACTTAACTCTCTCTATTTTTTCAAATTTCTTAATAGCAACATACTTTACAAACATTTTGCTAATTTGGTACTATACTTGAAGAGAATTTAAACATCAATTATAACCTTATAGCACACTATAATTCAATTATCCACCTTATACTAATAAGAGATAAATTGTATTTATCAACACTTAGATTAGATCTGAAAAAAATTTTGAATGTCACTCATAAATAGCCCAATCAGAAATGATAATGAGTGCGTTCGGCATTGCAAATCGGAAGCGTCCGTTTGCTCTTCTACCTCAAAAATCATTCGGTAACTCGCACTTTCTGCTAGATGTCATCTCATCTGAGTTCGGTATTAACATTTCTAGAGCCAATTGAGCTGTTCGACCACTCCGGATTCAAAAACCGAGCTAATGCTGATTTTCGCGTCTAAATTAAATTCATAACCTGTATATTTATGATGATGTATCCAATTGATTCGTTAACACATAACGTGCATTCATTTCTTTTAATACTTCTATTTTACAAATGTGTATTTGAACTATTATAAGAGTCTACAAACGCTTAAACAAATGCTATCAAATAGAAATTGATGGAATACATTATGTATAATATTTAACGAGGAAAGTAAGTTTTTAATTCTTTTTCTCTTTATTAATTTGAAGTTACGTATTTGAAAACAAAGAATTTGTTTTTAATTTTTAGATCAAAGCTTATGTTGCACATATATGTAGAATGAATGAAATAAAATTAAACTGCATTAATATATTAAAGACTCTAACGAATATAAATCAAGTAATATAACTTATAAATTGCTAAAATTTATTTTGCAATGTATTTTCTTTTAAGAAAACACCTTGCATATGAGTCTGCTATATTCATGTGTAACGATCTGTTTTTATAATAATATTGGGTCATCTAAAAAGTATCCGCGGTACTTTGTCACTAGATATATGACCATCAACACACATCTAGTGACAAAAAACCGCGGATACTTTTTAGATGACTCAATATATAAGACTATTATCAGTTTTTAATAAAGCGAAAGAAATGTTCAATTAATAAAGTATTTTTTATTTATTCATAAAAATAAACAATTTCATTTTATAATCTTAATGGACAGTTTTCAGCTCTGTAACATTCGGAATTAATTCTTGGCACTTGGATTGCTCAAAGATTACGTGATCGAACTCGTCATCTGCTAGCTCGCATCTCAGATTTACATTGTCGAATGCATCTAATTGAACCGACATTGAATTAATATATTATTTTTATATTTATATTAAAAACGCATTTATTAAATGCGTTTTTATACAAAATGAATTTGAAATACTTTTTTCGATACAGTATGTTTTCAATCATTATGCATGCGTGCGTAACATATCCCAATCGTATCACTTTCTGAGGTGAGGCAAATGGAGCGTGCTCTTAATTGATCCATGGAGTACGTTCGCGACGCGAACATCTAGTCGTCATATTGGTTCCGGTGACGCGAACGTATTGGAGCGTGTTGGGCATGTTGGAGCGTGTGACGCGAACAAACCTTAAGAGTCAAGTCATGAGAGGCATCGATCTCCTGATTGGTCAGATTTCGAATCCTTTTAAATGCCGCCATTGCGTTCTTCTGCTCTTATGTCTTAACTCTTAAAGCCACAGCACAGATTTTTGCATAATGCATAACGCATAGTGCATAAGCAAATCATCAATCAGAATTCTTCCATTTCACGAAAGAGAAGCATTTTTATTGGCTGATTTTCATATGCATTTATACATTATGCATTATGCACAAGACTGTGCTGCGGCCTTTAGGGCCATTCCACACAACTTGCATAGTCGCATAATCATATGCATAAAGAAAATTATCCAATCACATTTCTATAAAAAAATAAAAACAAATATAAAATACGATTGCAAGTTGTGTGAAATGGCCTTTAGGGGTTCTGCACAATAAAAGAAACAGGGAATAGAGAATAAGAATTTCAACCTATTAGAAACTATGTATTCCACAATACATGATTTCTGATTGGTTGAAATTTTTATTCTTTGTTCTCTGCTCTTTTTGTAACAGAGTCTCCGTATTCCTGTTCATAGATGGTCGTGGAGTAGAAAATTAACCAATCACAGTAGAATATGAGAAGAATACTCGACTATGATTAGTCAATTTTCCACGACTTAAGACCTTACAACCGTTACGATTTCTCTAGAGGCCTTAATTCTTAGGGCTGCCGCAGACAAAATTTCTGAAACAGTAAACCTTAAAACGTATCCTTAAGCCAATGAGCCAATCAGGATAGATCTACGTTTTAGATCTACGTACTTTAACGGAAATGGAAATAACAGTAAACTTATCCATAAGGCGAGTTTCAACCGATTGAAATTCGCCTTATTGCGAGGTTAAGGATAAGTTTATTGTTATTTCTACTTCCACTAGTTATGTAGACTTAAAGCAATATCTGTAAGACATAAACTTAAGCCGATGATTGGCTCATCAGCTTAAGTTTATATCTTACAGTCACTGTTGCGGAATTTTGTGTGCGGCAGCCCTAATCAATTCTAACCGCCCTAAGGCCGGTTTCATCAATGCCTATCAAGCTTAATTATGATTAACTGTCAACCACAATTCTACTAAAGAGCAAACGCGATTAGTCAGTCTACGGTTGATTAAGTTAACTGGCGTTAGTGAAACTAGCTCCTAACGAGCGCGTTTGAGTAGAAGCTACGGTTGGAGGAAGTAGGGGCATGTTGAAGCATGCGACGCAAACAAACCTCTTGATTCTCATGAACATCCATAGACAAAGAGGGCGGAGATAACGTCCAACTGCACCACGACACACCACGTTATCCCTTCCACCATAGGGCAGAAAGGTGTGCGTGATAGCGTGATCAGCGATTGGTGATCAGTTGTGATTTTCTGTCGTCGCATGTTATTGATCGATTTCTCGCTCGCGTGTATTTATCGTTGTTGATCGGTGAAGACAAACGTCGCTCGTCTGAGGTATGTGCAAGCGCGTGTCGTCGGGATATCGAACGGCCATGCGATCGCTCTCATTACGAGGGCGATCTCGGTGGAGCCCTGTTCATTAGGCTTGTTTTTTTTGGCTGTTTGCACCAGTTCATCAATAGGTCTGTTTTTTGTTGCTGCACTTCTGCATTGGTATACATGGTGCAATAAGTAAGTTGAAGTGAAACAAATACACGTTTGTTTCACTTCAGCTTATTGCGCCGGTTCAGAGTGCAGCAATAAAAAATAGACCTTTTCTTTTCCTTCTTTCTTGCTGGAAGAAAAGGAAGAAAGATGAACTAGTACAAAAATTCAGCTAAAAAGAATAGGCTTATTGACGGTTTGTAATTCGACTGCACTTGCAGCAATAAGTAATCCTCACTTTAACACCCTTCGGCTCTTGCCTTTCTCCCCTTCAGTTGTTTCTCGCGCCTCTCCGCGTTGGCGTCGTCGCTTCGCTCGGAGCAACTCGGAACTGTCTCGGACCGTCTCCACGTGATTGCATCGGCGCGTGGCGTAGCGTGGCGTAGCGTGGCGTTGCGCAGTGCAC